CTGCCCGGCCGCGCGTGCGCACACTGAGGAGCCCAGCCTCGCGCGGGGGTAGATGGGCTCTACCGTAACTCTCCGAGCGAGTGCGCGGCCTGAAAGGATAAACAAGAGATCCATCACATCGTAAAATGCAAGGTTTTGTTCTTGGCTCCTGCCCCGCTGTTCTGAATGAAATCCTAAGGCACGGGAGAGATTATCCCACTCGCTCGAACCCACTCGCGGTCGTACTTCGACAGCGTCACGGAAAGCGCACCCGGTCCCAGCGGGGGCAGGCAGGCTGGAACATTGCCCAAGTACTGCATTCCTCGTCGCTCACCTCTCAATGACAGGACGGGCGAGCAGTAACAATCCCTCACTGAAGACGAAGGAAGCCTTTCAAAACCGTTTTTACGCTCCCTGCCCCTCCAGCATCTCCAGAGCGTGGGAAGCAGCCGCAGTGACAGCACCTCCACCCTGCCAGCACCGGCCCGGCTGCAGCGCTCACTCTCAGCCTCCTCAAGTTCTCCAGTCCCAGTTGCAAGAACAGACTAAACGCTTTCCGATTTTTATTGACACACGGTGACTTTTATTACACACGAGTTGATAAAATGCCATAATCAATCTCCAAATGATTTTTCAGAGTACTGAAAGATAGGCAATAAATAATACTAAATTGAAGAACACTTCACTTTATTGTTTTAACACCCTCACAGCTTCCATAGTGACAGCCCTTAACAAGGACAGAATATCTCTGCCAGAGACAGCATATCATTTTACCAAACAAAAACTAAAAAAAAATTATCTTAGTAAAATATTGCACAATGGTAAACTCATGCTACCCTTACGTGGGACATAAATGAATGATCAAACCCAAAGGAAACATTTTCAGCAGCTACAGAAGAGCAGGGAAGCTTACTATGGAGCAATCAGGAGTTGGCAAAATTTTAATCATTAATTTTGTCAATTGCAAATTAAGTGATTAAAAAAGTGACTGTAATGATGACAGCATGTTAACTACATAAAATACATGATCTGGAGAAGAACTGTAGCTATGTAAAAAAGCCATTTTCCCCCCTAAGGAGAGATCAATATTCATGGAATGCAAACATAATAAAGATTCAGTTTTCAGAAGGCAGAACTACTGAGATTGCTGATCATCCAAATGCTTAACTTTAATTGTGCCGTAGTCAAACCCCACACCGCTTTCGACTATTTTTTATTAAATGCCTCCAGAAAACGCAGCAGGTGTAAGAATAGATTTATGATGTCCAAGTAGAGATTGATTGCAGCCAGTATGTACTCTTCAGGGGACAATTTGTGCATCAGCAAATGAGTGTCATAAATAATAAATCCACAGAACAGAAGAGCTCCAGCAGCAGCAAACACCAACTCTATTGTCTCACTATAGAAAAACAGCTGGAGGCAGATAAAATATGAAAAAGATGCTTGTGAATTTAATTTTTTTAAATATTAAAATCCCTGAATATGCCACATTTAATACACAGTCTTTCTAGTGTTATGCACACAAAACCACAGTATTATGGCCATATTTCAATGCTCTTATTCCATACACTCTCTAGTTACACAATCTCTGTGTAAAAGTGCCTCCATTTCAGAGGGAGGAAGCTCTGGCGCCCAGAACACTAACAGCAGAAAAAATAGAAAATCAAAATACATCTCAAAATAAATCTCAAATCTCCTTCACATTCTCTTCATCAAGTAGTGGATGTCAACTGACAAATTTTGTCAATCAACCAAATACCCCTTTTATGTTGGCAAGAACAACACCCAGCAAAAATCTAAATTGAACATGTGTGGTTAGAAGATCACCATCCTTATCCAGAACAGTAATGGATCTGGGTAGGAATTTTCTTTCATTCAGCTGGGCTGACCCAAACCTTCTTCTCTGAGCAACCTGACCTTAGTGGAAGGTGTCCCTGCTCACAGCAGTGGGGTTGGAACTAGATGATCTTTAAGGTCCCTCCCAACCCACACCATTCTGTGATTCTGTGAATATCTTTTAACTGCAAGCACAAAGTATCTTACCCTCAAGAAACCCGAGAAGATTAAAATCCACAAAAAAGCGAAGAGGCTGAAAGAAAATAAATTATACTGTGACTAACAATATACTTTCGTTTAAACTTAAAATATCCTCCATTTTTCTAAAACCTCTTCACAATATATGTGGCAAGTAAATGTCTGGAAATCTTAAATGCCAACTGTTCACTGGTGTCAGCAGTAAAATTTTATAAAGCTGTTAAAAGTTACGTTCTAACTTTCATTTTCTTAAAGTTTTGAAACATCTGCCTTCCCTCTCAGTGAAAAATCCAGGTAAACTAAACAGTTTTCTAATTGTTTTAAGATTCTTTATCACTGAAAAGATTTTACCAAGGATCAGAACCAGGTAAAATTAATAATTTAAAATAAATAACCCTCACTATTCCCTTGAAGCAGGTTCTGTTGACCTGTATTTCTTATTATACCTGCAAAGATTGTTTTAAGAAAGAAAAACAAGCCAACCTTAACAACAAGAAAAAATTTTAAAAAATCATCCATATGACAACATACCCTGCTCCAAATTTGCTGAAGTCTCTCTTTGACTGCAAGGTATATGCAGTCAATCCAAGAAATACAGCAGCAGTAAGAATAAAGGCTTGCAAGACGATGGAGACATCATAGAAACTCACTATAAACAGAGAAAGTGATCTGTCAATTAAAGAACACTACACTGTATTTGCTGAGTTATCTTTTGAGAACAGAAATTTAAATTTAACTGTGAACAAAAATGAGTAAATTATACCTGAATTTGTCTTTGCATTTCAAATTCATGATCATAGGACTCAGGGATCTTGTACTAGCTAAGTTTGACAGTTACTTTATAGCTGTAGCTTCTTAAATGGAAATAACAGGTCTTCCCTAGTCAGAATTATGAAAACACCAACAAAACAAAACGATTTTAAGCACAGATAACAGTGATCTTAAGGAAAAAAAACTGTATGAATTTTTCATGATACTGAAACAAGGGGAAAAATAAAACAATCCCCTATAAAGGCTTGAAGTTGTGATTAGGGGACAGGAGGGGAAAGATAGCAGAAACAAGTGCAACCTTTTTCTTCCCTCCTTCCTCCTTAATCTTTCCTTTCCCCAAATCAGGAGATCATAGGCCACAATGAAGAGGTTTCATCTTATGCTGTAAGGTAGTTTGATGTTGACTAGGTGATGCCTCATTTCAACCCTGACCATGAAGGTACAGAATTCTCCAAACTCAAATGCCCTTTGAGGAAACTGAGGGGGCTGATACGACTTTTTCAGCTTAAAGATCAGCTCTGCTGAGAGCTGAGCATTATGAAAGAGAACATTTTTAGCTATGCTGAAAGAATAGAATTCCCCAACTCATTTCTCACTTCAAGTTTATACAGTTTAATTTCTGCATCAGAATTCAGTTTTCTCCCTTGATTCTCTAGCTTTTCTAAACTCCTATCACCGTCATTAAAATTTTCAAACATGGTTCATTATTTTAGTCACATCTAGAAAACCCTAATGGCAATTAGTACAACATAATGGATTCCTTTTCCAAATTCTTTAATCAACAATAGGATGGCTACTATTTACCTGTAATGGCAACTGTCAGTGCTTCCAGTAGTGTCTATAAAAAGCAAACCCAAAAAAATAGAAGGATAAGAAAAAAATCAAACCATTAAACATTAGGTCTCCTGTTAAATCTTTGTGTATGAAAACATGCTAAATTTTTAACAAGAAAATGGCAGTCAGACTGTCTCACTGGACTGGAAGTTGTGCTACATAAAAAGTACAATACAAAGTGAAAATGAGTGAGACATTGTCCCTACAGAAAAATGTCACATTTTCTACTATAAATGCACAGCATTTATATGACACTTCTTACAAACTATTCAAGGAGCTATAAAATGAATACATTTTCAGTATTTTGTTGGACAGTGTCTGTATCAGTTTCCTTTCCACACTTACCCTTTAAACACTCTGTTTACTTACACAGCAAAGCTGTCTTTCTGTTTTATCACAAATACAATTTAGGCAACTCTTAACACATCAAATTTTAATTAAGCTACTGTGACTTTTTTTCAGAAGACTCATTTGCTACGTAATCCAAAATACTCAAGAGCAACTGTTAGCCTGGATCTACATACTCACAACATCAGCCAGAAGACTGAAATTTGAGGACAGCTCTGACTGATCTGTCTGTGCTGGAAACATGCTTGGAATTTAGCATCAAAAAGACAACAATTGGAGGAATAAACAATACAGCTGGTTTGGGTCTCTGCTGGAGGCTGTCCATTAAAAAATTTTGGTAACAGGAATGCCTCCTCCTTTCTTACTGAGCAGTTCCATAGAAAAAATGCCTGTCATCAACAGAACAATGAGAGCAGATAGATTTACACACACACACAAAAACCCTTGCTCAAACTGGCTCCAAGTTCTAACACTCTTTCTAGAAAGATGCTGAAAGAAACCTGAAGTGCCTGCTATCTAGGAACAAGCTGTGGACAGATTCTTCAAAAAGTAACTCAGACCTTCATAAATATATAGGATGTCTTTCAAGGAATTCAAGAAAAACAAGTGACATACCTCTAGTTTCAAGGAATTAATTACTATGCAAGATATTCCAGGGACTATTAAATGGAATTAATCAATTAATAATTTAATTGATTTAAACACTTACAAATCCAAACAGAAGGTATAAATTAACAGGGTACTGGTGTCTGTAGAGGGTCAGTGCCACAATTACAGCCAGAGATCCAAGTCCAGATATCAAAAGCAAGGCAGGCCTGTAAAATTCCATTAAAAAAAAATACAATCAAATATCTGTAAGATTATGGAACAGTTTATATAAAACAAATTTTTTAAGTGATCATCTAGGAAAAGATATCCAAAGTAAATGTAAGGCAGGTTTACAGTAAAACTGTTCTAAAACATACTACTATAGATAATCAGTTAAAAATAGTACAGTCACAAGTAAAGGCTTTCTTTTCATAATAAAGCTAAAGATTCCCCAGGAATCCATTACCTGGAAATGAACACATACAAAGAAGAAAATCCATCCATACAAAGTAAAAGTATTAAAGTACATGTACAGTACAAACATGTACTGTTTTGCCCGTTCTGAACTCCATATTCAGAGAACTATTTTTCATAAGCACCCAAATGCAACAAACATGGGCACTAACTGCACTGTGGAAAATCAGTACTGACCAGTAAGTATTGCTAAATCATTCAAGTAGCCCTCCAAGGAAAAACAGGACCAACATCAAACACAAAATCACAACAGTTGTAAGCCAGCAAGACAATTTTAAATTATCAGATTTAAGCAGAAAACAGTAGTTTTACAATCATTGTTGTATACTCTATAGATAATACATAAACTGAAACTTTCATGCAGTGTTTAATCCTCCTTTTTTATTTGGGCTTTAAAGTGAAAGTTCAAAAGTGCACTTGGAGGAAAACAGACACCCGACTCAGTGCTCTCCTTCCCCAGCTGTTCCTTTCCCTGGCCTTTTCACCACACTTTGCATTTTGAGGTTTATTTTATCATGAAAATCCGAGAGGCAAAAAGAAGTATTCCCACAGGAATTTATGCAGAATAATTATTTTGGGGGAGTGGGGAGGGGGTAAGAGGAAAAAGAAGACAGGAGAGAGAGGAAGAGGAGTAAGACATGATACTGGTTTTTGGAACAGTCACCTATAAATAACAGCATTCCAAAGATATTCTAAAAGTATTTAGACTGTAATACAAGAAATGTCTGACTAACTGAGATGTTCTGCAATTCATGTCAAAGTATGCAGAGCACAAATATTGAAATAAGCACTATTAATAAAGCATCGATTAAAGTAAACAACAACACAACAAAAAACAATATGATAGTTTTCATAGTAAACCAAGGAGAAAATTGTCAGAGAAGTTACTCCCTAATCAAATTAAAAAGTATCTATTACAGCAACAAAACAACAAAAGGTTACAAAATTGATTAGGAAGACTGAAGTGTAGCAACAAGTTACATAATTTATACCTAACACATGCTAAACAGTTGTATTTCACCTTGGAATTTACCTCTCATGAACAAATGCCTGCACTCCAGTAGAGTATAGGAAAATTGCAGATGTGACTGTGGTCAATAGAACTTGAACAGAAAGAATGCTGTAGACCTTTCGCAGAAATGCTGGAATAAGGAAAACAAAAATGAAACTACTTTTGACTTACACTTTCAAAGTTCAACAGCAAATCAGATACAAGTTTTCATTTTCATAAAGAACCATTATAAAGTCATAGTGAAAAAGCACAGAACAAAGCTGTAAAAAGCCATTTTACTTCAAAAAAATTAACACAATATTATAGCAAAATTTATTCCTGGACATCATTATTTAACCATTAACAATGATGACAAAAGAAATATAGAAAACACTTGCAAGGAATTTAAATTGGATTAGTTTATGACCTACACCCATTCTCACTATACTATCAGCATACCTTCTTTATCATGTTACTGTTGCCTAATGGACCTAACTGAAAGGATTAACACGGAAGGCAGAAACAGCCATAAAAGTTTAAAAAGGTAAAGTTTTTAAATGAATGTCTATTTGATTTCCTTTCCATCATATTAAATATCATTTATCATCATTTACAACTTGCACTGTACCGAACAGCTGGGCACAGGCTGGAAAAAATCCTAGCATTAAGAGGCTTCTTAATTCTAGAATTACTGAAAGAAAAGAGTAGTTCAGGACATACAGATATATCATAAAGATATTCTCTGTTCTGAATAGAAGGAGACCAAGTCCATTAGGCAAAATGCTGTAGAAGGAAGAATGAGCTTATAGGGGAAAAAAATTCAGTCATTAATATCACAGTCTTAAAGAACTTTAAGGGCACATACTATGAGAAACTGAATTACCTGCTTGCAGCAGGTAAAGTGAAATACACTTGCAAGCCATGAGGGACTGGGGCCTACTTTGTCATGATAAACTGACCAAACCTCCCAGCTCGCAAAGCCTTTCCCCTATGTTACTAAACCCATCAGCAATTTTACTAGTGGCATTATCTGTTCTATACCTCCTATGGCACACCTGTTATTTTTCAAACAAAATAAAACAGTATTTTAATAGGAAGTGGCCTCCTGATTATCAGAAATAAATAATAAAAGACTTCACAGCACATAGCCGTTTTTATTCCAAAATGTGTCCAGTAACACTATTTCAGCAAGGATTACTGATTCGACATATTCCACCAGAGTACTCAGTGTGTTTCAGACCTGCATATGAACAGCAAAATCACGGGCATTAGTATGCCAAATGCTTCAGTGGAAGAGACAAAAGTTCTACCACCTCACAGAAGAAATTCAAATCCTTCAGTCTCATGGTTAAACTTCTATAATTGCAGTCACTCATTCTAATATTATATATTATGATATTTATGAATCACAGAATGAATACGGCTGGAAAAGACCTCTGAGATCACCGAGTCCAACCTGTGACCGAACATCGCCGTGTCAGACAGACCATGGCACCCACTGCCACGTCCAGGCTTTCCTCAAACACCTCCGGCGAGATGCCTCTCTGCAGGGACTCTGCAGTTCATGGACCATGTCTGGACTTCAGAACTCGTCACTCGGGACAAAATCAAGTCTGAATCTACACAGGGTACCGAGTGCACGGGGTAACCCCTCTGAGAAGACCTAGCCCCTTCACGGTTAAACGACAGAGCATTTCCCCGGCCGCGGTCCCTCACTCTTGATGCCTAACCAGGACTATACAGCGCTCAGGCTCCGCACTCAGCACCTTTAGCCAGGTTAAAACACTGCGCGGAACCCGACTGCAGCTCAAGGCCAGAGGTGACCGGAGCATCACAGAGGCGCCTGTTGGGAGAGCAGGGCCCCACTGGGGGCAACGGGGACCTCTCCGCAAGCGCTTGGGGGGCTGAGGCGGGGCTGTGCGGCTCCCCCGCTCATCCGCAGCCCTTACCCATGCGGATGTGGACGCTGGCCGAGGCCACGTTGCTGCCATAGTTGAAGTCATCCTCGATGGAGCTCCTCGGGTAGCGCTGCTCGGCCGCCATGGCCGCGGGTTGTCTCCGCTTCCGGGGGG